CGCCACGCCAACCATTTAAAAATCCGCTGACCCTAATCTGGAACGTACAGTGCACGATTAATAACCGTGGTTCTCGCTGACGGTAGAAACGTGACTGGACAATAGCTGACGACCTATATGGGCAAGGGAGGCCAAATAAAGTCAGCAGTGCACGGCGGGAAAAAGATGAGGCAGCGTACTTTGAATCGGGTTTGGTAGCGAAGGGACAACAATGCGGAGTGGGAACATTGATGGATCCCTAGGAGCAGTGCAGGCTGTGCGCCGCCGGATATATGCGAACAAAGAGACTGCTGGCTTTAGACGGAGTACCTCGGTCTACTAGCATCAAAAGCCGAACATCGCCGCTACATTCGCGCTTGAACATCTTACTGCCGCATGGCGCACCGCCCACGGATGCCGCTTGAGGGGCGGTCAATCCATGCTCAAAGCCTTGTCAGCACGTACCATGATGACAAGTAGTGCACTGGCCAGAACGAGACAGCCTGCGGGCGCAACTGTGGTCATTAGAAGCAACATAATCAGTGGCACCGACTCCAGCCTGCCTCTCACTCGACATAGCGCAGAGGCCCTCGCGTTTGGCAAATAACCAGCGATCACTCTTTCATTGGATCAATTATGCGACATATTCTGCATGATATACATCCCGAGTGGCCCTGGGAGAGCTGTAAGTCAAAACTCGTCCGGGCACTAAGAATGGGACTCACGAGAGCTTTTACCCGAGATGCTTCGATGGCGTCCGAGTCTACATCTGTGTTTCTACATCCGCAGAGTGTCGAATCCAGCCGCAAATCGACTCAGATGCAGATAACAGAATGTTCTTGGAGGAGAAGGTGCGGAATACAACTTTGTACTTGGAGATCTCTGCAGATTGCACTAAGACGTTGCGCACAGGTGAAAACCTGTCGTAACGCGGGTGACGCGTCAGCTGGAATTCAGCAAGGCTGCTGCGTTCTCTCAGAACCGACCTCAGCGACAGCAGAAGCATGAAGTGAAGCACGAAAGGCAGCTCCCGAAGAACTGCGACCAACGCGAAGTCTTCGACGCTGCCACCGGTGACGTCGTTTCTGACGTCGCCGCCGGTGCTTCTATCGGTACCGCTGTTGGTGCTTCTGTCGGCACCGCTGCTGCTGCCGCCGGTAAAGCTGCTGCCGTTGCAGCAGGCGATGTCGCTTCTGGCGCAGCTGCTGGCGATTCCACTAGTGATGGCGCTAGTAGCGATGCGGGAGGTGTTGCCGCTGCTGCCGCCGGTGCCGCCAACGGCGCTGTTGCGGGACTAGCCGATGATTCCGTCGCCAGTGCCGCTAATGGTGTTGCTGACGGTGTCGCTTCTGGTGCCACGACGGACCGTGAGGGGGTGACGTTGCTGGTGTCGCTGCCGGTGTGGTCGCCGGTGTGGGTGCAGACCTGACTGCTCACATCCAATTTGGAGCTGACTTGGCCGTTCATTTCTGGTCCGACGACCTTCCCCTCTGCAGGTTGCGATGAGCCCTAGGCAAGCGGTGGCGGCGTGACGGTGCTTACCAAGCTCATCGGCGAAAGGTTTTCTCTCCTTGTTGACTGGTGAAGTATAGGCGGGAGGGGCAGCGGAGTGAACGGGTTTGATTTTCCCGGGCATGGTGGAAAGTGGATTAGTGGGGATGTCTTGCAGCGGTGCCACATGAGTCGGGATTTGAGGTTTTCCACGTGATTCAAAACCTCTACGAAAACGTGAGTTGGCCACGGCTTGTCTCTGGGGGTTACGCGTGATGCATCCTACAGATCACCAAATATTCTCTCAATCTCTGCCTCTTCATCCTCCTCGTTACCGGTGTCCTCATTATCATTTTTTGGAGGAGCCTCTTCGTCGACGTTCATGGTAGCAGGGATGGCTTTCGGTCTGTGGATAGTCAGTCGCGGTCGAAGCGAAGACAACAGGGGACGCACCTGGAGTCGACCAACCCCTCAATAGTAGCATCTGTACCAGTGGCATCTGTGGGGGAGGGTGTCGAGACCGGGAGGACGTATAACACCTCGACGGCAGCAATGGGAGCATCTCCGTCGCTGTCGCGACTGGTCATGATGAGTGTGGAGATCTGTGAATGCAGGAAAGGTTGGCGCGACGGCACGGAGTTCCTTTCGCTGGGCTCTTTTATGGTCGCGGGCCGTCTCGCAGATTCCAGGTCCATTGTGCTAACATGGGACGGGTCCAACTGCACGAGACTCTTGACGGCCCTTGGAAGAGGCTGCGCCCGTAGAATGGGTACGCTGCGGCCTATATGGTCATTTGGGCGTGCATCTACGAGAGCTCCAGGCCGTTGTTGGACTAATGCAAGAAAGAAGTACGTAGTCTGCATGAAGTATCAAATGGAAGTTTGGCCTCGTTTATATGGCGGCCCGCGCCCCCTAGTGTATTCTCAGTGCCTCTGGCAGGTCGCGGCACTAAATCCTGACAATTGTAACCTTCCCCTCTCTGTTATTTTCGAGGAGTGGAATGAGACTGCTCACTGAGATTAACAAGGGCTTCCTTGAAGATCTTCTCCTCTTTGCGCCAAGTAAACTGACCGGGGAAACAGCTGGTGAGACTCTGTAGTGTACTTGACAGCGAAGGTAGCGGCGGGCTAACTCACCGACGAACCTCCAGATGCCTTGCGCCTGTGAATGCCATAACTTCGGAGACGAAGCCTGTTCCGATTACTTTGGAGAAACATCAGGCCCCAGGGTCGCCTATGCGTCCTGCCATGCCCGTCTTACGCAAACCGACATGACCCCAGACTGAGCCCGGAAGGGGGAGAAGTGAATATTGGCACCGCCCGCCGGTGGACAAATGCTTCCTTGATGGAGCTGTTTATTTATCAAAGAGGCTAAACCTGGTTGGACGACCACTAATATGCATTTGAAATTGCTGATCGCTGTCCCGAGCGGGACTGGCTCGAAGCTGTCCTAGATTGCGGGCAGCGTTCAAGTTTTAGGTTTCGGAAGATTTTTACCGGCGGCAGTGCAGAGACAAATGCATGTGATCGATCCATGCCTTGCGGACTACGCACGTCGACGTCGAGGGAGAAACAGCTAAGAAAGCTCGAGAGTCATGCCAGCATTGCCCCAGGAGGAATTCAGCCATACGCTGCCATGCTCAGAATTAATGTTCGGCGGTCTGGAGCCATGCGTGTCGGGCTGATGCCAAAGGCCCGCTGGACCGGAAACTCCGCGGGAAGAACGCACCAGATGAAGCTGTCTCCTGCCTCGGCATAAAGCACTGAAGGAGAGTGGCCCTTCCGTTAGTATTCTCGCCGTCAACAGCTAGCGCACTCACAAGCATCGGGCGAACAACAGCTCGGTCCAGCTCGATCCAGGACACCAACCTGACCAGCCTGAGGCCCCGGGTTCGGCAGACCTCAGGAAACTGTCTTGTCGCTCCCATTTCTCGAAAAGAGGGAATGGCGCTTGCTCACCATTCTAGACTGCGGCGTTTGCGAGATCTTATCTGCAAATTACCATTTGGATTGATGTGTCATTTCGTCTCGCGTAAATGTGCGTGGCGGCGCCGAGTTGCTCGATGGTACGAAATGCGATGGGAGATAGAAGAGAGCGGGTAACATATTGCATACATGTATCTTGATGCATGTCTAGTACTGTACTTTTACGACCATAGTAAATGTCACACGTCGCACCAGTTTTCAGCTGACACCGCCAATAATATTCTCTCGATTTATGGCGATTTTGGCGACTTGTCGGAAAAACTCATTTTGGGTGCTTTCATCTGCTACAGTCGTAAAAGTACAGTAAGTTACACAGTGTATCGCGTGTATAAAAAAAGTAAATTCTACATGAGAATCCAAACCCACAGGGTCAGGGGAGCATGCAGTACTCCACTGGAAGCCAAGAATGCCAGACGGAAGACATAGAATGTGAGCACTATCAACGGCACAAAACCCTAGGACCGCTACAAAATGCTGGCGGGACGCGGCAGCTGTGAGGGATGACAGTAGCCTTCTCCCGAGCTTGAAAGGCTGGTCGACAAGCCTATTTTTTAGTATCTTTCCTAGCGTCACGGTCCTTCTTTGTGTCCTTCACGTCCTTCTTCGTGTCCTTCGCATCTTTCTTTGGATCCTTCTCTGAGAGTTACGATCAGCTCCAGCGCGCACGGCGACGAATTGGTAAACATACTGGGCAGATTAATGGGCACGGCACTGGTAGGGCGGGTCACCTTTTGCCTCGGAGCCTGAGCTACTGCAGTCGTGACCATATTAGGTCCGCGAATTTCAACGCCCCTGCGGAGCAAAACGGCTAGGTCCTGGGTCCTTGAGACAACCGTCTAGGATGTACATACATAGAGCGCAATAATCCTTCAATGCCTGTGCCCCCGCCATCCTTATCGTCGCTATTGTCGCTGCGGCTGTGCTCCTCTTCGTTGGCAACAAATGCCTCTTGCAGGACGCTGCGGCTGTAGATAATCAGATGGAGTGGGAGGAGTCAGTATCGGCAATGGGCGACATACCCAAGAATGGCTGACGCTGAGACGTAGGTACCGCTTGCGGTGTTGGTCATGTGGTCGAGCTTCGTGGTGGAGAGCGTCGTGGTCGTAACAACGTACTCCATCTTGTCGTCAGCCGAGACAGGACTCGGAGTACTGCGGTCAGAGTCGTCTCCCGCCATAGTGGATGTCGGATGCGGGTTTTTAGACGAGTGAGTATAATTATGTGGCTAATGGTTGCGGGAGGGGAAGTTAAAGTCTACCTTGACCACCCTATAGGGCCCTTTAAAACCGTGGCTTGCAGCGCCAATCTCTGGGAGAGCTCATAAAATAATTCCCCGTGTTCTAAGGCCTGTGCAGTACTAGGTTCAGAACGCGTCCGAGAAACGCATGTACCACACCGCCTTAGCCATTGTAATTTTCCACGCCCTACAACCACTGTCAATCTGACGTTAACAGAAGCATACAGGATTGCACACCAGTCCCTTCCTGTCGGATCGCGTAGCAGGTATAGTCGACGGCCCGCCACGGTTCTCTCTGCATTTTACCGAGCGTCAGCCCCCTGTCGTGCGTAATTGATGCTTGCTGCACCACTGATCGGACTTGGGAGCGAACAGAACAAGGCGGTGGAAGGGCAGCCATAGCGCGTCGGTCCACCTTGCACGCGAATGCACAGAGGCTCGACGGCGGATCCTGATGCTTGAGAGCCTGCAGCCTCAGAATGATGATGGGAACCTTAATTACATCAATTCCTAGTAGAGGGAAAGGCTCGAGGAACGACAGCGGGCAAAGATCGGTGGTCGTGTCTGTGGCAATAAGGTACCACGCTACCAGTGAGTTACTGTGCATCCTCGACAAGATGCGAACAACAAACATTCCAGCTTTTCTGTGATATATTTTCCTGTCTCTCAGTAACGGCGCCCAGGAAATAAGCCGACCACGTACTGATATCAACCCCAGATCCCGTTCTGTAACGTAATACAGCAACGCACCGGAGCCCTGTTGCAGCCCCATGGACCGTACAAGTCTGCCGTTATTCGAATACCCGGGATTTTCCGCTATCAGCCTTCCGCTCTCCATCCCTTTGTCCTCGACTAGCGGGTGATACGATATGTTTTCGTTTATGCTCCCGCTCTCCACGGAACGAATGATGTGATGGAACATCCGGTAGCGCACGCTATCTATTGAAAATTTGTTGGCCTTACTTTAGAACGCACAGCTCACAATTAATCCCCGTGGTCATCGCTGACGGCAAGAACGCGGCTAGACAATAGTTGATAATTCCTCTGACCAAGGTGGACCGAAAGGAGGCAATAGTGCATGGCGGCAGAAGATGGGGCAGCCTACCTTGACCCAGGTTTGGTAGCGAGGAACAATGGCACTGATGGATATTTGGAACCAGTGCAGGCCGTATGCCGGAGACGTGCGAAAACGGGGAGATATCTTGACCGCGGCCGCGATTCCTAGTACGTTCGCCTCAACTTGAAGAGCCAACAAGCACCGCCCCGGTACCCACGCTTGAGCATCCCGCTGCCGCATGGCCCACTGCCTTCGAGCCTGAGCGCTGCTGGATGGGCGGTCAACCTATGCTAAAATCTCCGTCAGTGTCTATTATGGCAATGATTAGTTCATTGACTGAGGCGGGGCAGCTTTTGCGCCCACCTACGCTCGTCAGAAGCAGCATATCGGCTCCGACGTGTCTCCCACCTGACATAGCAAAAAACACACTCGCATCTGGTCAGCAGCCGGCAATCACCCTCCAGTGGGCCAATAAGGTAATAGACCATGCGTAATTTATATACCCTGAATGACCTTGAGAGAATCTGTAAGTCACGACCCGTTCAGGCACCAAGAGTAAGACTCACAAAAATTTTTCAGCTCAGGCGCCTCGATGATGATCGGATTTACACAGATATAATCTACGTCTCTACATCCGCAGGGAGTTGAACACGGCCGGGAATCGACATGAAGGCACATGTTCGTGCAGGAGGTGTAGAATACGGTGATTGAGTGCTTGAAGATTTTTGGTGAGCTGCACTGATATGTTGCGCGCAAGCGAAGGTGGACCTGGTAGTGTGTCAGCCGAAACTTGGAGAAGCTAACGCAGTCTACCAGGACTAACCTCAGCAGCAACAACACGCAGTAAAACGAGAGCAATAGCCCCTAAAAAACTGTGGCCACGACCGCCGTGAAGTATCTGCTGGTGCCGGTGCCGCCGTTGCTGTCGGCGCCGGCACAGGCACTGGTGACGCCGGTGATGCCGTTACTGATACAATTACTGGTGCCTCTGTTGGTGCCGCCAGTGATGCCTTTGTTGATGCTGCTGTCGAGGCTGCTGTCGATGCAGTTACCAGTGCAGCCGTAGGTACGGCAGGACCATCGGGGGTATCGTTGGTGGTGCCACTGCTGGTGCCGTGGTCGCCGTGGTTGCTAGCATCAGGCCTGGAATCGGTCTGGCTATGGATGACTCTGTCTTCCCCAGGGCCAATACTCTTGCCTGCCAACGACGATCAGCTTTAGGTAGGTGGTAAAGACATGGTGATACTTACTAAGTTTCCGGGTGAGGTGCTTATCAGAGAGTTCACTGTTGACTAGCGTGGTAGATGCAACAGGAATGCCGGATTTGATTTCGGGGATCACAGTGGAAGTTGGGGTAGAACGAACAGTCTTCTGGTCCGGCAACGACGCCACCTGTGTTGTGTAGTGCTGCCTGCCGCGCACTTCAGCACCACTACAACAAATTTTGTCAGTCACCGCGATCTATGTCTGAGAGGACCACACAAGGTGCGCCATACGCTTCTTCAAACAGGGCTTCGATTTCCGCGTCCGACCCGTTCTCCTCATTGATATCATCCTCATTATCAGGTTGACTAGGCACTCCCTCGTCGATGTCCGAGGCAGCAGAAATGGCATCCGAGCTGTGGACAGTCAGTAACAATCGAGAGCGCGAAGGCAGGCGACACACCGAGGGGCGACCGGCGTCTCAACAGTCGTACTCCTGTGCACGGAGTCAGTGGAAGATGAGGCCGAAATGGGTGCGACACCCGCCACCTCGCCCGTCGGAATGGAGGTGATTCCATCGTTATCGTGCTTGGTCATGATGAACGTCCAGATTTGTGTGCGCGGACCGGGTCGGTAAGTGAGCGTGTGCACGGCAGCAGCAGGAGACGGAGCCGACGACAACATCCCTTCCATTGGGTTCCTTTAAGGCCGCGAGCCGCGTCGCAGACTACACGTTCGCTGTGCCAACACAGGACGATTCCAGGCCCTTGACGATTTTTGGAAGAGGCCGCGCCCATAGAACGGACATGTTGCAGCCTGAATGGCCCTTTGGGCGCGCCCTACGGGGTTACGAATCCATTATTAGTCTAATGCGAGAAAGAAGCGCGTAGCCTCTCTGAGGTATCAGATGGAAGTCTGGCCTGGAATACACCGCGACACAGAGCGGGCTGCAGTCTAAAAAAAGCTGGCGATTTGAACCTTACGACGTCCGTCAAGTGTGGGGCCCGGGACCGCCAGCCGAGATCAGCGAGGTCGTCCCGGAAGTTTCCCGTCTCTTGCCAGAAAGGTTGACTGTTAAGCCGTCGTTGAAACCCCGCCAGCAAGCTTCTTCAGACCTAAGCACGCCCGGTGTGTATTTGTGTATGACACCAGAATCGATAGCGAAGGCAGCTGCGGGCTGACTCGCTGTTGGTGGATCCAACTGGCTGCTTTGTGTCGGCCTGAATGAACGCTACAGCTTTGGAGACAACACTTACTGTACCGGGCTGCACCGGTTACTTTTGAGGAGCATCAGGGCTGCCATCTTGTCATCCTACGCAAACCTGCGTAATCGCAGGTTGAGCTCATACATGTGAGTCGAGGAGGAATGGTCGTTACTTATTAAGGCTTGGTCACGGCGGACCTTAGCTCAAAATATTGTCAGTGCTCAGCGCTCAAACACTGAATGAGCTACCTAGATAAAGGTGGAAGGTTGAGCCCAGCTGAATGGCTACTCACTGGTGCGCGTTTTATGCTGACCGCTGCCATCGGCTCGAAGCTGGCACTGACTCCGGTCATCCTAAGTTTTAGGTTTCGGGAGAGCGAAGAAGGCGACGGGAGCGGCATAGGTATGTACATGTGATCAGTCTGCACCTTGCGACCATGTACGTCGAAGAAAGAATCAGCTGGGAGTGACCGAGAGCTGTGCCATCAATGTTGCTTCGGGGAGGGAGATAACGCTCCCGATAGCCATACGTCAATATACCTGAAATGATCAGGCTGTGTATGTCGTAAGGTGTCGCACAGCCACCACAGAATTAGGGCCCGCTGGACGAGAAACTCCATCTGTTCCATGCGAGTATTCTCACTACCAGCAGCTAGCGAACTAACAAGCAGGCCGAGGGCCAAGGCCTCGAGTTGGGCGTCACGAAAGAGGCCTTACATTCCATTCGGGCCTCACTGGGGCATTGCCTCATGAATGTAATTCGATCAATGACGACGCAGATGCTGCCTAATCCTGGAGAGAAACATATTCAGCTCCACAAGAAAAGCCACATAGTACGAGATGAGGCCCGAACCAACTGTTAGTCTTTGAGCGGACAACTTGTCCCATGAGTATTCTAAGTCAAAATATTTCTGCGCTTTACGCGCATTTTGAATTCAGAAGAGCATCTCGCCTCGCCTCGTCGCGCGGCGTGCAGTGGTCGGGACGAGATTCGCGGACGTTGAACGAAGGCCACTGAGCATGCAGGCGCCGGCATGATGCGATTATGCTTACATAATCACGAGGCACCGGACATCCTTGTCAGCTAACAGGAAAACAAGCAAAAAGAGAGAGAACTAATATAACTTGCCAAGCTGGCTAAAGTCCATGCATTTGCACTTTCCATGTTCCTATACGCGGAGACCCACGAAAATAGCCCCCCCCCCCAACTCCAGGCGCAAAATCACCGAAAGACTCTCCGCAGCAACTCGTACGACCATCCGGGCAAGCTGAGCAAGCTGTCGAAGAGTTTGCAAATCCGTGCCCAAATCCGTGTCCAGAAAGAGGTTCCTCCGGAGTTGGGAGCGCGGAGTGGCGTGTGGCTTTGGGGACTGTGCGGTGTTGAGCCCGTAGTTTTCGCAGAAGGATAAGTCTTCCGGAGGCTCAAACGGCCATGAAATGTTAATGCGTCCGCGATCGGGACGAGCTTCACAGGGCAAGCTTTGTGCCGTGCAAGACGGCCCAAACTCACTTTGCCTTACTTGTATCCTCACTGCCGTGCGTCGGGACGATCGGGATGCGACGGTGGGTCTGCCGGCGCCACCCAGTCCCCGATGATGCGATGATGGATGACGTAACGCGCATTTCTCACTCGGACGCGCTCTCTGTATGTCGCCGTACCAGCGCACCGCTACCCTCTTCTCGCTCTCGTTCAGAGCACCTGCGTTAGTTTGCGTGTTATTACCAGCAGTCATGCTTAGCGCAAAGGACTTAAAGTTGTGTGTACCCATGGAAGAGTGTCCAAGGATTAAAGGAAGTTAACCTAAGTACACAGGTAGCACTAACGACCTGCAGTGATTAGCTTTGCCTGCTACGGAACCCTAACCATCCTGTGAACTTCACAGACCAACGACGACAAAATTCGAAAATCCGTCCCCGAACTAAAGTCTTGCTCTCGTCGCGTCGGCCGTCATCTTTGGCCTCGCCGTTGGTAATGCCGTTATTGACGTGTCTGCTAGTGTTACCGCCCGTGCCATTCCCGGTAATTTTGGTATCGTCTGTCGATGACGATTAGATCTGGACGAGCGACAACAGTGTGGAGAGACTTACCAGATCTCTCGACCGGGGGTGGATTAGATCGGTCTGGCCCAAGCGGTGCCACTTCGGTTCGTGGGTTTTGTTTTCCACGAACTTCAACGCCTCTGTGCGGCAACATACGTCAGCGCATCTCCGAGAGAACTACGCAATGATATAGCATACATCTTGCTCAACAGCTCCCCGATGTCTATATTCCGAAAGCACTTGAGAACATCAAACGAGGGATATTACAAGCACGCGGATACAACTATCTCCTTCTCTGCTACTTACGCTAGCGTCCCCGCCCTTGTTGGTACTGCTGGTCTAGCCCTCTACTGATATCCGCGCCGTCGTCTGTCGCAGCGTCAAAGTACCCATATATAAACCTACGGAAGTAGCTACGCTCCTCATCGAAGATGCGGACCCGCTGGAAGAGCTCGAGAATGACATTAGCTACGTGTACTCCAGGTACGCACCCATTAGCGTTCGGTTGGTCCAGTGCGTGTCCCAGAAGAGGGGTGTTCTGAGCAACCCTGCTGGGGAGAAAGGCAAGAAGGTTGCTGGTGACGACACCAAGGGTGGAAAGGGGAAGGACGCGGCTCCACCGAAGGTCCAGGCCCACCTGAACATGGGCTGGAAGGGCTTTGAAGACATGGTCGCCACTATCCCGGGCGCGACGGTTGACATTGTGCAGAAGGTCCCAGGCTCGCAGGATGGAGCAGGGCCTGCTGTTTCTACCCTACGTGAGTGGTCTACATTTGTCGCGTGCGGCGCCAGGGTGTTGCTTATCCAGGGACGGCTGCTGTACAATGCTTCCGAAGGAACAGTCGTCGATGACGGTGGTCTTCTTCTTAGGAGGATGCACATATACGGAGATCGCTACGCTCCGGCGGGTTGGGAGGCAGAATATTGGTGCGTGCGCCCTGGCTGCGCCGTTTGAGCTGGACTGAGGTCGAGTGGCGCACAGGTCGAAGGATACTGGTGGCGACGACGGAGGTCGTGAGCGGGAAGAGCGTGGTGGAGAGTCCGGCAGACAGCGGGGTGGTCGCTGCAGGCCCCGTCCGAGGTCGGTATCTAGCTGCCAGTCGTGTGTGTGTGTGTGCATGAATTCGAATATTTCGACGTGCCACGCGGAGACGACTGAGCACGTTGCCGACCTGTACCATGTGCCTTGCTACCGACGTGTGATAGTGTCGACTTGCTCGCCTGAGCTCTAGTCCTCCAGGCTTCGCGTTATGGAAATATCAACGAAAGGCGTCATCACGACGCACACTTCCTCTTGCCGCTCGTCCAAGCTTCGCGAGATTCATTGTGCCCGCGGACGAATTCTGCGAAGCGGTTCGGCCTCTGGGAGGCTTCGAACGAGCGGGATCTGGACGGGTTCGGCGCCGCGCAGTCTGACGCCACCGTACGTTGCACCTTGTACGTGCGACGATGCACTGTCCGATCTCGACACAGCCAGTTTTCCGCGACTGGCCGCCTTCCCGCCAGCCGCTCGTGCGACAGCTGTCAGAAAATACACTACCCGGCGAGTGCCATGCTCATCTCCCCGGATGACATATGACCAATGGTGTCAATCAAAGCTTGAAAAGGGTCCTCATTCAAATGGGGCGCTTTGCTCGGCGTCCGTTCATCCCGCACTGTCGATAGGGGCCTAGAAGTTTGTCTATTTTTAAAATTGCCATACCGTCAGCTCAACAGTCATACGTCTCGCAGGTCGCCCAAAGTGACTTATTAACAGAGTTTCAGCGACTCTCTTACGGTAAGTTCCCGCAAGACGAGGGGCGAAAATCTTCAAGAGCGCAGCTTCCATGCCTCGAAAATAACAGACGGGAAGGCCCAAACCGTCAGCGCCTTCAGCGCCGGCTGTGTGCCCTTCCTAGGGCCATCAAGCGCCTTGCATACTTGAAGTTGTCAGCACAGTGAACTTCCGGGCAGTGTAATGGGACATAGCCATAAAAGAGCCTAGTGGAGGGGTTGCATGACAAACCCGACGGCGCATTCACTATGGCTAGCCACGACGACGACGGAAAGGCCTACATCGCTCCCGACAAGGCAGCGCACGTCGCTCCCGGGCCGGCCTCAGCGTCCTCTGCCACGGAGGTAGATGGCACGAGTGCTGTTGTACAGACGCCGATCGTCCCTAGGTGCGTGATCTATCCTCCAATTCTCGACTGTTATTCATTGTTCCAAGCTCGAGCGCCACTCTTGAAGCCCAGGACGCCGAGCGTCGTGGCAATGAGATCGCCCGCAGCGAAGAGAACGACCTTGATGCCGCCGGTCACAATGCTAGCGAGACATAGCAGCCTTAGGACAGCCTGCATGTCCGCCCTCGATCGCGGAGATTTGGTCGCTGATATCGTAGGACGCAAGGATATCTGTACTGTGGGGGTCAGCGAGTTGGGGGGCTAACAGTGCATACGCGTACTCTGTTGGATCTCGAGCAATTTGTTGAAGATGCCTGTCCTCGTATGAGGGACCAGCGTCTCGGATAACCCAGTGTCTGCGCCAGATCAGTGATTTTTCCAATACGAAGAACTCTCCTCAACCCACGGAGTCTCAAGGTTTGGTGCTCGCTCTGCAGGCCCCCGAGCTTTCCGACAAAGTCTTTCAGCTGTATCACAGTCTTCGCCTGACGCCTGAGCTACCAATATGTGAGACAAGCGTATTCCGCCATGCGGACTCGAAATACCTTGTAGTCTCCATCCAGCCGTCTCGCCACCTGATTGAGCTTCTTGCCCACAGCAGAGAAGTTCAGATTGCGAGGCTCTCCAAGTAGCGGATCAGTCGCCGTCATCAAGTGGTGTTTCTTCTTCTTCTCTCTCGTGCTAGCGAAGTGCCTGCTTGGGGTTGGGGTGTCGTTGAAGATCCTGCAGCTTGGTTTGGAGCGCTGGGCAGAGTCAAAAGCAATACCGGGAGCTCGACATGCGCTACATGCGAAGCATGTTGTCTAGCTCATTGTCAGCAAAGGCAGACTGTGCACTCACAATTTCTAATCCCGATGACTTCGTCGATGAGACCCTCGTATGTCAGCTGTGTGAGCAAAGGAGTGATCATATCCACTCTCCAGTCGATGGTCATAAGTGAATCCAGCTTGTCTGACGTTGTTCCTAGCATGTTGTTTGCATTATCCGGTGTATTACTCTCGAGATTCTTCGACAGTAATCTGGCTAGTTGCTGGGCCGTCAGCTTAATTTCTCCGAGAGAATGTGTGCATATACTGAAGCATGGTCACCCTTTGCAATTACTCGAGGGAAGACACCGTATAAACTTTGCGTAGTCATGAACGCGAGCATTAGAGCTGTATGATACAGTCTCATCTCCGTCCTGGATACGTGATCAGTTCGGTCAGCAATCCTTTACTGCTCACACGTACTGCCCAGATCTCCCTGAGTGCACTATCATGTTCGAGTGACACGACATCTTCTGCGAGAGGGACGAACTGCAGGTTGTACGCGGAGGTTGTGATCTCGCCGAGTACCTCCTCTTCCAATATCCTAGATAAAAGCGTTGATGTCCGTGGGACCAAAAGAAGAGTATAGCTGTGCTTCTGACCCTCCCGGGTGTGCCGTTTAATCTGGTCTTGCACATGCCGTCACCCTCCGTTTGGAGGTGGAGGTGGGATTGGACTTACCTGCAATAATTCTCACAAAGCTTATCTTTGGCCGGCAAAGGTACACTACGTTTTCAGTGGCTACAGAGAGTGGGCCGGGCTCCAGCCAGAATATCTTGTCTACACCATAATGCTACGATGCTTCCATGGTCATTCTTATGCGTCCAATACAAGCGTATGTGCACTGCGTACCTTTAGCAAGGCGACTTCCGTGATAAGTCCTGGTGGTCCAGCGAAAGGATTATCCAGAATCTTTACGCCATTAATCTATGCTCTCACAAATGAGTATGCCGCGAATTCCTTCCGCTGCCACTACGCACAGAGTTGAGCGCATCGACTAGAGCTTTTCTCGCGAGCTCCTTCAGCACTAAAATATCCAGTGGCTGCTCTTAAAAGCCTCGAATTTTGTCTGTCTTGATGTCTGGGTGGTGTCCTGTGAGGTGGACGTCGACGCGACTGGGGCAGCCATGACGGCGGTGACTGCGAGAGCGCGCCGGTACAGTATGGTTTATGGGCGTCTCCCGCCATCGCGAGTCTGCTCAACATATCGCCTCCCCCATCCACACAGGCACATAAGGCCACATTCAATATGTTCATCTTCAGGACGAGCGGGCGGTGCATAAACTGGCACGTTTCCCCGGCACCTCTCCTTAACCTCACCCAGGACAATGCTGCGAGAGCTGTGCTTTCTCTGCGTTCATCGATGAGGGCGGGCGCAGCTGACTTGCGTCTGCGGTACCCAACGCTGCGCCGAATCCGAGGCGGCTGTTACCTTCAGCCCTGACCGTTGCGAGCCCGGAAGTGCAACACTGCGAGGATCGAGGACCAGCCGCAGTTTTTACTAGATTATTTTTTCCCGGTTACGCGTCGGGTAGCCTTGGTGCGGCCCATAGGGATGCATCCCCTCGCCAAGCTTCCGCCCCTGGCGATCCACCGCCTGCCAATCAATCAAATTGTTCTCGCTGTATCTACTCGTGTAGTGCGCTAGCCTCATAGAACGAGGTGGCTTGTCTCTGCGCTTTCTCTGAGCTCTCGACGTCGCCCTCAACGTCTGCTGCTTCGGCACGCACCGACTCGTCAACTATGACTCCCAGTCTCCATGCAAAATCTCGCTCGTCATCGTTCCATTCACGGCACTCCTCGCGCAAGTCCTCTGCGGTACCCCAGGAACAGCACCGCGATTTGTCTATGCTCACGGCTCGAAGCTCCACGCATACAGCAAAGGGAATGCGCCCCACCCATTCTCATACAACAGGGAAGTGATGGAGCTATTTGTGCATACCTCGTGACGCATCTTATACATCCGGAATGTCGAAGTCAACTATCGTGCAGAAACATATTGGATCACGCTCTCGTCTACAGAACGAAATCCGGATGCACATTCACGGAGTACAAAGAAAATACGCCAAAGCGATGCCTTGACCCCGAGTGCGGGGTATGTGATTTCCCCATGCATGGTTATGGTCTCCTGACGCGCCTCGTAGACCGGAAGCTGGACCGTCGATGCTGCTAAGTTGTGAAAAGATTGCACGTCTGTAAGCCTATGTCTTCACTCTACGGCTGTGTAACTTTTGACATGCCGCGCTAGGTCGGTTTCGACCTTGTGGATATCCAATTTAACCTTGAGTGTGTCGAGCCGTCGGTAGCGATGCGTATACAATGAATGCACGGAAGCTTGTGAGTACGCCTTGTGTTCGTAACGTGCTGTGTATCTAATTGTAGTCCCGCAGCTTCAATCAGTTACTCTTCGAAGACAACGAATTCGATTATGTTCACCTTTTCACAATTGTGTTTGCAGTCCCAAAAGATAAAGTACGCAGACTATCCGCCCCGTGCATAGCGGACGTGCACAGCCCTAATGCACACAATGGTACCATTTGCTCGACGTGCGTAAGCCCTCTTTTCGGGGACAAACATCTCCCTGATGTTACGCAGGAAATCAGCCGTATCCTGAAACCCGGCAGACATGTTGAACAAATCGAAGTAGGCCTTCCAAACCTTAAGTATGAACTCCGGGCCCTGCTTACGCCTCTCAGATGCTAGGTTTCCAACACTGCCGCGATGGCTCACTCGGCCGCTCCATAACGCAGTCAGGCGGGCCTCGCATAAAAATAATGCAGTCGCGTATGAAGTACTACGAGGTCCCTATGGATCTGTCTCACGACCATGCGCTTTTGGAACAGCTGTTCTACTCAGCATTTGAGAGCCAATTCATCAACCCAAACGTAGCTGTAAGCCAACGCCAAACACCTAGCTTCACTAACTGGTTTGTACGCAGCTATCTTGCCTGGCTACTTCTCCTCAATATCTAAACGTGCCGTTTCACCGCCAATTCTGTATTTCTCCTCCGCTTGCGCCTTTGCTGTCATTTCCGCGCGAAACGATCTTCCCCTCACGAGCCGCAGTGCCTCCTACAATGCACCTCGACACCGGTCAGCCGTCACAAAATTTGACTGTCTCGCCAAGCCCGCTCTCCGCGTCGACAACGTTGGTGCACCTGAGCTTCTGTGCGCAAACATCGGAGGCGACCTCAGTATCATCCCCATCAAGACTATTACCGGTATCTCAACTTCCTGGTCTCGAGCAAAGAGTCAGCTCACTCTGTCGAAAAGGTGAATATTTTACCTGCACTCGCAAAGGTGGGAGAGACTGTCCACATCAGTGGCGAGGCAGCGTATGAGCTATTCGGCATGGAGGCTCTCGCGGGGCTCGACGAGCACACGCTGTTCCTCCATCTTCAGCATGCCGTCGGGTTCGTCTATGCCAAGCGTATTGGCATCGTACGGCTGGGAGGAGGGCGAATATACCGGGGGGGGGCGGGGGGGGGGGGCGAGCCGCGAGTGGTTCGACGCAATGTTCAAGGGATACAAAGTGTAAGCGCCGTATCATCTCCGTGTTATTTTTTTGGCTGACTATCTCATGTAGGGATGTACATGCAAGAGTAGCATTGTGGCGTCCAATGCTGCAGTATGGCTGGACATATCCTAGACAAGGCCCTATGACAGAGACTAAAATGGCGAATCAGGAGCAGCTGAGGAGATCTATCCTGGAGCCAGGATGCTAGCTAAAGATGAAGATATCCAGCCAATACCTTGTGTCATTAGATTACTTGTAGACAAGAATGACCCTTGATATCATATTTGCATAGCCGCTGTGTTCCGCCCTTCGAGCAGTAGATCACTCAATGGACATGCTGCACTCTCCCACACCCTGGAATCACAAACCAGGATGGAGAAGAAAGAACAAGGAAATGTGAGAGGCACAAGAGAAAGTGCAAACCCGAAACAAAAATGACAGGATTACCCTGCATTGTAGAAGATCTTGGTGGCATACACACTGCATCTCAGACATGCATGGATATTATATATATTTTTGTTTCACTCAAGAGTCAAGCAATAGGAGCACTGACAAGAATGATGTAAATACATGATTCAAAGCAGGATAGGACCAAGAATTAGAATGAAGATAGGAAGGGGGAATCACAGGCAAAAAAAAAGGTGGCTGGTGTGGCCATCCAAAAAAATCCTGTGACCCTTACAATGTGGAGAGGAGACAGAGGGAAGACTCAAGGTTAAATGTCACATAAACAGAAAAGTTCAAAGGCAGCAGAGGAGGTAAAAGGACTGAGAGCACCTGTAATGAGCATTGAGCCAAAAGTGATGCAAAAAGCAAGGAATTCACCAATCGGCAGGGCCGCGTGCTGCCGCACTTCCCGGAATAGCTTGGTCGTTACTGTGCGGTTTCAACCAGTGGTGAGTGTGTGCATTGTGGTACATCTTCAAGCACTTACACAGTGGCCACTTTCGGCCATAAGCCGTGCCGAAGCCTCTTTGGCTGCTTGCTTGGAAGGGCCTTGTGCATTGAACATCAGCAAAGGTTCATCTCTCCCTAAGTGTGCTCTCAACACTGCTGCCTCGACAGATAAATCCTATGGCATTCTAAATACTCACAGATGGGGTACGCCTCCCACAGGGGCACGTGTTCTGCACCACCTGCTCTCTCGCATCTCCATTCGACAGCTCCTCTACCCCACTTATTCACCTGAGGCAGATATCGACGCCCACCTTGTTCCGGGTCCTCGAAATCATGCGTGCCCTGACGAGCGCAAAATCCATATGTGGGAGGCGGCGACAAGGGCGGGGGTTTGCTGTCGACATCCATAGTAAGCTGGTGATGAGGCTGTTCGCAGGGGCCAGCAACAGACAGAGCTGCGCCGAGAGTCTTTCTCGAGGGTTCCCTTTATACAACGGGCGGGAGATCTGCACGCCTACATTCGAATGTATTTTTGAAGCCCACAGAACTAGAAAAACGGCAGCAATATACCATAACTGGTGGAGCAACGACAGATGAACAGATCACGAGGGGCCCTGGGACAGCCATCCTTGGACCAGAAAAGCAGTCGCGGAGCGCAGCGAAGCGGCCTCTTGTATTGAATGACTTAAGCTGTACATGCGAGTTGTGATTCGAGCCGAGGTCATAAAATGTATGCAACACAGTGGAGATGAGCGGAAATGTGACTTAGAATCCGAATCAGATGGAATTACGCCGTGCGCTGCGGCCCTTGGTTCGAGCCGCTGGTGGTATGTTCTTCTCGCCCACGTACACCGAGGGAAGACATCCCTCTTCCCAATCTCCATCGCCGCATGGTAACCTTGTTACTGAATCTTCTCGAACTTGCCGAACTGCAGTCACGGTGTACCAAACTACATAGGCGTCCGGTCAGTATTGAGCCAAGAGATTCAGCAAGTGGAAAGCACGTACCTCCTGCACAGGCATCTGCATATACATACAGCCTCGCGCGACCTTGGTTTTCTCGAGGGTATTGGCACTCGAGGGTATTGGCACTCGATACACTGAGCACGGACGTCAGCATGTGGCCGTGTATGCTGAGTAAGAATACATACTAGGCGAGCCTACTTTGGATCTTAGTGATAGCGGACGCGCTTTGTGCGCTCGAGAAAGGATTCCAACGGTTAGCCGATAGCTACCACCTGGGGACCGAGTCCCCAAAGTTTCGTGCCGAATTGTCTTCGATTTGCGAGATGGTCAGACGACTGCTGCGGACAGCTTCGTATTACTACGCACGGAGCCTATGTCGGAGGCAATGACTGCGCTCGTACCCATTGACATGGTCGAGACCTGAAACAAAGTTAGCACTAGTAGAACACGCTGGACGAACATGTCATACCGGGAGGTTGTCCACTAGGAACAGAAACTATTGACGAACTATGGCGAGGTTCGCGAATAAAGCTCACGATATCCTCCATCGACAAGCATATTCCCACTGTCACATCGGTGGTAGGAGACCCACGAAGGTCATCGACGTTCCTGTGAAGGGGAGTTGTCAGCATTACCATATACCAGACAGCTGCAAGTACACACGGATGAACCGCCATGTATAACCTGTCTCGTGACACCATAGGCGAGGTATTGATATTCGTTGAGTTACTGAAATGGAGGAGCCACATGTCTTCAATGTGTAGATCGTAGAATGCCTTGGAACGCCGGGTTCAGTAAAACAGGCGGAAGAATAGATATCAGAGCGGACCTTGTAGATGGAACGATTGGATTCATGGCCCTAAAGTGAGAATGTCAGTGCTGCGCGAGATAACGGGAACTGGGGTGCTTACAGTAGTGTAGGCCACCATGGGGTACGTGACATCGGACAAGATACGCCAGATGTTCCCCATTCGTCCGCTGAATTGCGTCACACGGGCTGCACTCGAGCAGATATCACCTTCTCGGGCACATAATCCACCAAGAAATGCACCAATACTTGTGTCTATACCTGCGTCGAACTCCGGACAAGAAGATAGGACGGCATCGCTGTACCTCCAAGTGGCCCACTGATATATCGTATTCTTCTAGCGCACGTAGGACGCCTTGGCATAAGTAAAAACCGTTCCACGAAGTGGCTCCGAACAAGAACTTACTAGGTGGGAGATGCCACGAGCACTGCCTCTACCGAAAATGACCTCAATCGATCTCCCACATATCCGACGAGCAAGGCAAGCGAAGTCGTTTGTATGCGGACCTCGCTGCGGCCGAGGGTCGGCCGAGCCCCCTCGTAGCACTGTATGCCGCTTTGAACCCTGTTCTTGAGGTTCTTCAATGCAGTCACTGCGGCAGGCTCTTGCGGAAGAGGTGTCGTACGTGACACTGAAACAATGATACCCTGGGATTCGTTGTGTTTCTGAGCTCATTTGACCTGCACTTTCGTTGCATGACTCACAGGAAGCTTTACGTGTAGATGTTGGTGGACCCACGGACGGTTCTATCGACGAGTTGTCAGTAACCTCCCCCAGCCCGTCTCACCATCCCCACTGACATACCTTCAGCCACGCACGATTAGATCCTGGCACCACAGTTCGGTCAGGATGAAGAAGAACTAGCTCCTTCCTCGCAGTCGTCTTCATGGATAGCAGTAATCTCTCGTACTCTCCTAGCGAGGAATCTTCACCCGCTCCAACAACCACCACGTAGTCCGCCTATGCATTCGGTCAGCGATGGGCACAGTAAAGCCCGGCTGGTACGCATTTGTCGAATGCATGTCTGCGTCCATGTACTACTGACAGCCGAGTCCGCGACGTAAAGCACGATACGATACTTTTGCTCTTGCTCCGCCAGCCACCCCGCCGCCTTCAGTTTGCCCATGCGCGTGAAAGCATGTCTACCAAGATGGTCTGACACAGATGACTGGTTGAGGTAAAAAGTGGGAGCACCGATACTTTCGAGCGCAGCATAGAGCTTGCGGCCGAAGGCTTCGATGGGGACGTTGCGAGAAGACGGTATGATGGCGACTGTCTTCAGATTGCTGTTGCTACGGGAGGACTCAAGGGGTGCGTTTCTCGTCGAAAAGTCGACTTCAGTCGTAACGCGAGACGCTATCGTGCGCAGAAACCTGAATACGATGTCAGCAGCCATCGTCAACCGATACGGGAGACACACGCACTGTGCAGTTGTAGCTGGATGTCTGGAGGAGATTGCATTGAATAGTGTTTGTGGCATGCGTATGAGCTCGGTGTCTCGGATAGCGTGCAGTGTATTCCGCCTGGGGGAACTGGTGATGACGTCAAGCTCGCCAACCGTATCACCCTGACCATACTCAGCAAGGATGGTTACGCCGCCGCCCTCCTTCTCAGAGATAACTCGTAGACGGCCGTTGATTACGATGTAGAAGCTGTCGCTGACATCGTCAGGGCGCCAGAGAACCTGCCCTGCGTTGACTTGCACCCAGTCGAGAGAGCCGTCAATGTGCAACACTACAGGCAGTGAGTACAAGCGTATATTCCACATCTGTGTGACGTACCGAGAGGGGAAAGCAGCGAAATCAAACGCTTCGCCAATGTAAGCAGAACTATGGGCCTCTTTTCGAGCAACCTCTCCAATGCATTCGCGGGAAGGAAGCCAACGTAAGTGTCGGTCTTGGCCTTAATGTCCACGTAAGACGCGGTGTTGCACAACGAGGCTGAGAGGCTATAAGCGCAAGGACAAAATGAGGGAAATCTCACGCACAAAGATATCCTGCAATCCCACCGGGCTTGACAGTGAACAGAGGCTTCGGCAGGTCCTTGGGGGAGGGGCCCTTGGGGGTCCGTGAAGTGGCATGTTTCTCGAAAGCGGGCGATTCCGTTTTCACCGAGGGGGGGGGCGAATCTCGCTTCGACGCACCAGGCCCAGTAGACTCAGGTAGAAGGATATCCAAGAAGCCCTCGATCACATAAAAAAGTCCTGGGCGCTGTCAGTCTCGCTTGGCGTACTTCGAGTAAGCAAGACACACCGGTATTTCTCTGGCCAGCTTTGGCCAAGAGGGAGCCGGCAGGGAAAAACAAGATTTCTACTTCGTTGTCCAATCCACTGAGGTAGCCATCACCTCTGCCGGACGAAGACCCGGTCACGCTTGAAGAAGCATCGTCGACCATCTCCGGCGGCGACAAAGACCCGAACGAGGTACCAAATACTCCGCCGCGCGAGCGGCCTGCATCACTAGGGGGGGAAGCAGGAGACGCCTCTACAGACTCTTCGCCGCTCAAAGGGGGCTGCAAGAGGCCAATCGACTTCGCGATACAGGACATGACTTCGTCCCTAAGGTCAAATTCGTCTTTGGACAGACGTTGTACTCCATGCATGCTGCTGAGAGA